TCGGATGAAAGCATGTTTTGCAAAAGCAAAAACAACAGCGGGAAGCAAACCCTCATCGCTCACCTGGAGGGGGAGAGCACTGCCACTACGCCACGAGGGCCGTTGTAGCCATTGCGGGCAGCTGGGCTTATCAACTGGCACTATGTCTCCATGCTTAAGCATGCAGATTTTGAACGCTCACAACTTTTTTGGTAGACTCATTTTGCAGTTTTAATTTCCATATTTCTTAATAATTTTACAAGCCCCATCGATATACCTAGGTCTCCATTCAAAGTTCCATGGGAATTTGAAACCCTTCCCTGGTCAGACATATAAACAATGTTCCCCTTAATTTTTTTCAGAAGCATCACTCTGCCTACGTTCACAAATGATGCAGCCACCTCCTGCTTAACTTGTGTCAAGTTTCCGATTTCAGGTAACGGCCAGAGGAAAGATACCCTCTGATTTCGAGAAACGTGAAGTTCCCGCGATTGAGATTTGAGCCGATGCCACTCATTTATCGACGGGAATCCTACAGAGAATGGGACCAAAGAAATACGGGATGTCTTTCGTGCTTTTGGAAGCATATAAAAGAAGGCTTTTGAGAGGAGTGTCGAAAACGACGAAGCCATGTACAGAAATCAAGTCTTCTGCGAAGCTCAGTGTCCCGAGGATCACCGTTTGGAACGTGATAAAAAAATTCTGAGTTTATCGCTGACGGAGAATGAGGAGGGTATTTTTCATGACCAATAGCATCGCGATAACCGGGTCGCTTTTGCCAGGAATTCCATCCGAACCGACAGGAGTAAGGTGCCTGATGAGGTTCAGTGGTAGAAAAGACAGAGAATAGAGAATAGGTATTCGATCGATACTCGAGCAAAATCCACACTAATACACCGCCGGTTACTACCAAGTTTATCAATAACACGCTTCCAAACCTCAAACTTGGATAATTAAACCCGATTAATACAAACAACAAAGAAAAAGGCAAGTACCTAACATAATCAAAAGAAAGATAAGGAAAAGTATCGTGCCGTTGTCCTCCGCGTCCATCTTTTATATCCACATTTGGCGTGCGATCGGTAGATCACGTTCCCATCAATACCTTGTAGATCTTGACGACGTTGTCGTCACTCCGGGCTCAGCATGGTCTCCTCCATGAGATTCTGACTTCTTGTTCCTCAGTCGAAACAACTCTCTTTGGGTGTCCTCAATGCGCGAATGAGCTATGGGCTTCATGTCCGGAACATCGCAGACTGCTCGATGGTGGTATCCGTTATCGTTCGGGCATAAATCTTCGAACACTGTGTCCTTGATTCTCTGGCAACATCAACACGTCCTGAAGCGATATTTGCAGCGGTGCCTCTCCGGACCCTCGATGCAGTGAACTCACCATTTTTTTCTGAATGATGATCTCGTAACGCGTTCTTCCATCCCGAAATTGAGGGCAGGCAACGAAAAATGGATGCCTATAGCATCACAAAACGCACAATTCCCGTCAGGAGGGATTCCTAAAGACTCGTCTCGCCTATCTCGATATGGATAACATTTGACTTCTTCCATTCTTTGCAATTTTGCCTGCACGATTCGAATGCACCTGGTGATCAACGGCTCATAATACTCGACTCTTCTACTTTTAGGTGCCGGTTCATCATCCTTGGACCAGTTTCCTCCAGTCCCATTTTCATCCGTATTCACCATGCTTTTAGATGGTTCTCGTCATCATCTTCTTCGACGAGCTCTAAATCCCCATAGTCTTCTTTTTCTTCAACTTCACGCACATCAGGTTCGACAGGTTTGACCTCCTGATTGGTTCCCTCACTCTGCTCGATGCAGTGACCACTTCCACGGCCCCAAGCTCGACTTGATGGAAGCAATCTCCACGCCTTGGGACTCGACTTTCTTCGTTAGCACGTCTACATCCGAGCGGTGGTTGATATGCTCTTGCAACGACTCGATTTCCTTCTTAAGGATTCTCTGTACTTGGAAACTCGTGAGACGTACTGGTTCAGTCAGTTCCTTTTCCTGACGTTGCAACGTTGCCTTCATGTCTTCAATCGCGATGTTCAGGAGTTCACACTGATTCTTAATCAACTCGATGATGGCTCTCGGTCCAGAGGCGTAATCGCGCTTACGTTTGAGCCAGACTTGCCGCTGATAACCAGAAACGTCTCCCCATTCTGTCATATCCTCGTGCCATAAATCCATGATGAGGTAGCTGGTTCCCGTGCGAAGGATTCTTTCCTTCGTCACCTCCGCCTGGCGTAGTAGTTGGGATCTAAGACGCATCTGTTCTGCAGCCGAAGCGCTGATGAATGAATCTTCGTTCTTGTGATGGTTCCATTGTGTCACCAGCGTGGTTGCAATCTCTTCTGGCGTTGAAGCGATATCGCTGCCATGTCGATTTCCGTCCGAATTCGCTTCTGATCCTGAACTCGTTTTTTGCAAGATCGACTAGAAGTTTGATCTCTCCGTCGTCTTCCTCACTCGCGAGCCTGACAAGTGGTAGAATGCGAGTTAGGGGCTTTTGACTCGTTCTCATTAGAATTTTGCTATCTGACATAAATTTGAAGGTTTTGAAAATTGTGACTTCTCGACAAATTTTATCGTAAAAGGAAAATGGATCAGAGAAGTTTTGAGATGGAGTTACGTGCCCGAAAATTTGCAATTTTAAGGAGCTCAAGCTGGGCACCATAGAAAATATACTGATTACTCTTCTGTTAACGCGTATGCTCACACTTTCAATCGTTGATATCATACAGTTATTACCATATTTCCAATCGTTTGTTTCGTGACGACCATGATGAGTAACATGAGAGAAAACGCGGATACCTCCAAATTCTCGAGGGATACTTAGTTTCGACTTAGTTTTTCTCACAATCTGAATGAGGAGTTTCTATACCAAGCGTAAGACTTCTTATAAAATTTGCAGAAGTTCCGCTATGGGGGGTATGAGGGTGGGTCTTCCGTTAGGAACTGCCCAGATAAGGTGGTGGATACACTTAGTACTAAGGGTAGGTACTAGTGAGATGCGGTCTAACTCGTGCTATGCCCACAAAGTTCTCTGCATAGTTCACGCGTTGTTTTGAGCGGAGATTGTATCGTGAGCCCAAATCTTCGTTATGGTTACCTTTGCTCTTAGATCTCAGTACCGACGTTTCTAAACCGTCAGGGCCTTTTCCCGTGTTCACCTCGTTCTGAAAATCCTCGTCGATTTCTAAAGGGACCAGCAAGTTCTAGGCCTTCGAATTTTACGATGAGATGGGAGGAGAACGACTACTACTCTTAGCGTTCCCTCATGGTTTGAAACTGAGGTTTCGATCCGTCCCGTTTTCCAGCAGTGCCGAGGTTGCAGTGCGTCGCTGATAAGGTCTGCTTTGTCTCTTTTTGAGACGTAGCTACTTCCTCGTTGTTTCCCAACTTCTCGTTGGTGTCGGTCCCGTAGCGAAGTTAGGCACTCTGTCTGCTATGTTTGCCAGAATTTTTCCGGCATCTCACACGAGCTTTTCACAGCTTCAATCACTTGAGTTTTCGAATGTTTTGTAATGTTACGCGTTCTTCTGCGGATAGGTATGCCAGATCTTCACTGAGTTCTGAACTCGAATTTGAGAAAAGCGGAATTTCGAAGTTGTTTTGCAAAAAATCGATCGGTCGCACGGTGCCATTTTCTCGCGGCCCTGACTCAGCATAGCCCTGCTGTCTGGTGTTGAGCATAGCTTCTATTTCCGTATGTACAGTAACGAGTTCTTCTTGGGATGGAACTGATCTCCCTTGGAACTTAAAAAGAGCTAGTTTAACTGACCTTATCAAGCATTCATAAATTCCTCCTTGCCAAGGTGCGAAAGGAGTTATGTATTTCCAGCAAATTCCCTTGTTGCCTAACATTTTCGCGATTATCGGGTCGTTCTGAACCTTCTTTATGCAATCTTGCAGAACAGAATCACCCAGCGTAAAAGTAGGTGCGTTGTCACTAGTTATGGTTGACGGTATTCCCCTCCTTGCAAATAACCTACGAAGCATCTGAATGAAAGCGTAGGTGGAGAGATCTGAAGCAACATCCAGATGGAGTAGGCGGCTGGAAGGTGACACTGGCAGGTAATGCATTCGTAACACTTTCCCGTGGATCCATCTTCTGTTTTGATGGTAAGTGGTCCGAAATAATTCAGTCCGACATGATCAAACGGATGTGATCGTAGCACTCGTCTGGAAGGCGAGTCGCTCTGCTCTGGGTATTTGAATGGTAGGTTGTTGAACCTTTGACACTGCGGCGAACACAGCGGCGAATAGCTACCGTAACTTGTGATCATAGCTTGGGGATCCAATAGTGTTGTCGGATGAGTGCCATCGTATGATTTATAGTAGGGTGACCTTTGCTATGATAGTAGTTGATAAACAACTTTGATAGCCAAGATTTTTGCAAAATAAGCATGGGAAACTTCGCATCATCTGAAATGACGCTGTTACCTAGGCGGGCCCAGCATCGCCATATTCTAAACTTGTCTTTGCACAGGTTCAAATGGTGAAGCATTCTGACGATATCAGAAGTAAGACTCGTCAGTTGACGATGTCTCACGAGCATTTTACTTGCGAGGGCTATTTCTTCGCCTCTCAAAGTAATTGACATGTCGCCTCGCCCTCTTTACAGTTTTCGAAAAGTGCCGAAAGTTCCAGAAACGGCTCAGCGTGAACATTCTGTTTATTTTTCACTCTTCTTGCGAGAACTCGAATGGCTCTCATAAAGTATGCTACCGTTCGCTCAACATTGAGTAAAGTTTGCACTCGGATCGATTGGGAGAATTTTGGGTCTATGTCGCCCGAATTCATGGTAGTATCAATCGCTAGCGAACATACTTTGGGGATTGATTCGTACTTCTCATCGATTACGATTGCTTTACATAAGTCATCCCAGTTTGCCTCTAGAACGTGGACAAATTCAGGTCCCATCCACCAGAAGTGATCGACGAGTTCATGTTTATCCAACCCTCTAGTAGCACAATCTGCGGGATTGGATTGTGAAGATATGTGACCAAATTGAATAGGACAATCTGATCCTTTGATTTTGCTAGTGATTTCTTGGAACTCATTAACGCGATGTTTTATGAATGGTCCAGCATTATGTCGTACCCTCGATTTGATCCAATTGAATACAATCTCGGAATTGCTCGAAACAAGCTCACGGTTGATTGTGATTACTTCTTGTAATTGATTGATGATCCAGTAAGTCAAGTGCATTGCTAAAGTCATGGCGTTGAGCTCTAATTCAGGTATTGTAATTTTTGAATTGTCTCAAGGTAGCTCAGCTTTAGCCATCAAGAAGTCATGTTTTCTGTTCTCAAGTAAACGCAGGTAGCCATTGCCTCGCTGCTTGCGTCCGCGAAGCTTATGATTCACTCGACTACGCTCAGTGGTCAGGAGGCGCGTGATTTTCTTGTGGAATCCGTCACATAGTCGTTTCCATTTAACACACTCTTCCTCCGTAAGTCGGGTATCCCAATCGCGAGTGGTTTTCCAAAGCGACTGCAGAAAAATCTTAGCTTTGTGAACCAGTGGGAGCATCCAACCCATGGGGTCGTAGATGGACGCTATAGCGCTCGCTACGGTTCGTTTCGTCGTTTTTGCTTGAATGGGGGTGTTGCAAGTGATGCGTAGGTTTTCCGATGTGGAATGCCATACGATCCGAAGGACCTTTGGAAAGGTATCGAGCGATTTGTCTTTATCTGCGATTGTGGCCATGAGTTCTTGGTCGTTGGAAAGTACTCCCTGAGGTTCATGTGAAGTTCGTTAAAAATCTGTTTCGTACGCGAGTATTGTTCCATTGCTTCATCTAATGTGTCAGATGCTAGGAGAAGGTTGCCTACGTAGAGATTTTCCTTGACTGCTTTCACTAGCTCTTCGTTTCCCTGTTGCTGTTCGAGGTGAAGGATTCGAGGTGAATTGTAGCTGCTAGGAGGAACGGTGATGAGAGAAGTCCGAAAGTCACGCGTGTAAATCTATGAGTTTGGATGTTTTCCTGGCTGGGGAACTCGTTATGATTCCGTAGCCAGAAAAAACGTGTTGCATCTTTATCAATTTCCCGAAGATGGACCTGCAGGAACGCTTTTTCTACGTCCGCGATCATTGCAGTCCGTCCGAATCTGAAGCGTAGTAGAAGAACGAGCAAACTCGGGAGGATCACCGGTCCTCTGTACAAATTTTCGTTCGAAAAACTCGCATTTTTGTAGCGGGCCGACGCATCAAAGACGAAGCTCAATTTTGTTGTCTTTCTGTGAGGAGTAAGGACCGCCTGATGGTTTATGTAGTATACTCGATCCGGTACACGCTCCTCCTCGTTCACTACTTCAATGATATTTTGCCTGAATTGATCCTGTAAAACCTCATTATATTGGTCCAGCAATCCTTTGTTTTCGAGTGAAAACCATGTGCTGACCATGCGTCGATACGAGATTGCTCGTTTTTCTGGTAGGGATAGACAGCCTTCCTTCCAAGGCAAGCATACGTAATATCTGTCTTCTCTTATCTCGACCGTTTCTTTGAATCGATTCCACACTTGTTGATCCAACATCCGCTGAACCTCTTCCTCTGATTCGCTGAACTTCTCGGTGCCCGCTCTGTCAAGCTCCCAATACTTCGTCCACAATTCCCCTTCCTCAGTCGGCTCTGAATCTCGAGACACCACACCAACACTCGCGTCCAGAGACCAACACTGTTCCCACTTGTTTGTCAACGCGAGCAGTTAGGACGTGTGAGTATTTGGACGCGAAGAATCGAGTTTCCCTGTGATCAATTGTCCTAAACGCGTTTGCACAAGATGCAGTCCAGAAGGTAGCTGTACATGGTATTTTCCTCCTTTAATAGACGACCAGACTTGATCACAGCCAAGTAATATGAGAGGTTTCACTTGCCCGTAGTTTTCGCCGACTTGAATATGGATGTTCAGTGATTTTATGTAGTTTTGATCTTACTGGTGGAGCAGTCAGCTCTTTAGTCAGAATTTTATGCGTGTACAGAGTCAGACTTAAAGGCTGTCCGTCCTCGTCCCATGTATTCAGCTGTAATCGTCGGCTTGGTACTTCTTGAATTTCGTTCGATCAAAAGGTATGCAGCCTTAGTTTGGTTTCTTCTATAGTTCGTAATCCTAGTTCCTCTGCTAACAAGTCGTCGATGAAGAAGAGTTCTGCTTGTGTGTCCAACAAGACCGCAACCTTCTTCAGGCCCTTGGAAGAAGGATCGAAGATGGTCAGCTCTCCCGTGGGTAGGAAAGTATAATCTGGTTTCCGACCCTTTCGTGC